ATGGAAAACTCTACAGACTGTCGGTTCACACCCCATCACCAGCCAGCAAAACATCCACGAAACAAAGAAAGGTCTGTCACAGCCAAAAAATACACTCCAGACACGCCACTGGCACTGGAGGCACAGCATGGCCGCCTAGTAACGGCCCCGACCACTGCCGCTCGACCTGACCAAAAAAAACCGTAGCAGGAAGCTAGCGAAGTCGTAGCATATATCATCACAAAAGAAACGGACAACAAAGGAGGGGCTGCGACAAACTGTTTCGTCGGAGTTTCACCGACTCATCAGGAGGCTGAACCCTCAACAGTCTGCAGAATCCCCTAACTGATTACCCTGTGGGTGATAATCCACCTTAACCCCGGTTGTGGTTAAGCATCAACGACTGGCTCGACAACTGCAGTGATACCCTGAGGTGGGCACCAACCACTGCCCTCAAGGTACCTGTGATGAAAATCAAAGCAGACTATCACTCACTCACACCAGATCGAAAACTCTACAGACTGCCTTTTCAGACCCCATCACAAGCCAGCAAAACACCCATGAAACAAAGAAAGGTCTGTCACAGCCAAAAAATACACTCTAGACATACCACTGGCACTAGAGGCACAGCATGGCCGTGTAGTGACGGCCCCGACCACTGCCGCTCGACCCGACCGGAGAAAACTGCAGTAGGGTGCTAGCGAAGTCGTGGTCGTCAAACAGAGCTGCCCGGTAAACCGTAGGCAGAGAGGGAAACTGACAGTCTGTAGAGTTTTCCATCTGGTGTGGGTCAGTCGTTGATGCTTAACCACAGCCAGGGTTAAGGTGGATTATCACTTACAATGTAATCAGTTAGGGGGTTCTGCAGACTGTTGAGGGTTCAGCCTCCTGATGCGTCCTATACACAGATCTTCACATAGATCCACCATGTGGCTGAATGGATAAATAGACCACGAGTCCGAATCCTTTCTGCTGCATACAATACGGTTAGGGCCAACTCAAAATTGTTTTGTACTTTAAAAAAAAAAAGCAAATAAAAATACAAAAAAATCTACGTACGTCGTACACACAGATCTCTTCACATAGATCCAGGGGGGGATCAGGTCCTAGTTGCACCACTCGCCATCCACCAAGGTTTTGAATGCATCTGGACATCTATGGTGTGCAGATGCATGCACAATGTTGGCGGATGGCGGATGGCCAGTAGTTTTGAACTCAGCTATATTCTTCTCTCAATTTCACCTTTCACTATCTACCTACGACTACTCCTAAACCTATATATACATGGGAACCCTGCAAGCATAGCTACCTCTCACAACTTTGCCCTCATACAGCATCCTCTCCACCTCTAATTGCTGAAATTTGCACGAATGGCAGGCTTCATTTGAGAGGCAGAAAAATCAACTCCAGTCTACGATTGCCCCTGAACCAGTCACTCGCAAACTGAACGCATTTAATACAGAGGCGGGATATAGATCAAAAGCTCACATGGTTGTTTTGGGTTTGTTCGGCTTTGCAGGCCTGTGGCTTTCTTTTTTTTCTTTTTTCTTTTTTTAATTGCGTCTTTGTTTTGTTCCCAGGGATTTAGCTCTCAGGACAGCGACCCAGAATTCGTCATTTCTGTTCCTACCACCTTCCCCCAAATATAACGCACGGTCCTCACAGCCGTACGTTCTTTTTTTAATTCCGGCTCATCTTTCTGTCCAGATGCAGCGAAAATGACCGTACGTTCCCTTTCTTTTTAAATAAAATAAAGCCCAGCTTGTTGTAGACTCGTCGGCGGGATACTAGACAGATGACAGTCGGCGGGATACTAGACAGATGACAGTCACCCACAGTAATCAGCCATTCGGTTGTCCATATCAACCCCTCTGAAGACCCCACCCACCGGGCGCTCTATTCGGGGAAAGAAGGCGGATATTGCTGACTCTCCGCACCTACGCTGGGTAATCGTCCCAGTATAATTTTCCGGGTTGTTTGTGGAGGATTCCCGGCCTCCACCCTTCTTGATAAGAAATGTACTCTATTTTGGCAAAAAAAAAAAAAAGGCAAATGGAGGAGAGAGGAGGGGAGGGGGGGAGGAGAAAGGAAGACGGTAAATAACGTCAGACGTCCGCTCCATGGAAAGCCACATCGAAAAAGATACTCCTTTTTGGGGGCACTTTACTTTGACGTTCCTGGTCGCAATTTCGGCATTTTCTGAACCGAAATCGTCGGGTCCTACTGCGGGACCCCGGTAAGCCCTGAAAAAAAAATCGATTAAAAAGAAACGGAAACGGCAACCAGGTACGTCAAAATTTACTATAAATGCCCAAAGGGGCAAAATGAGAGTGAAGGGGGGAGGGAGGGGGAGGGGGAGGGGGAGGGGCCGGGGGGGGAAGTAATAGAAACGCTCCACTGCAAGAAGGTTGCCCGTTCACCACTCCACTCTCCAATTTTCACCGACTCTTTTTTTTTTCCTTTCCTTTTGTGTGTGTGTATGTTTCTTGCGCAGGGGATAATGCCAATCATCCCTGTATCGTTCCAATTTTAACGGATGTCCTGAAGGACAATGTAGGACGCTGGAATTATTTTTTTGTTGTTTCGTGTGTGCACGACTACCGTCTTCCCCCGAATAGAACGCCCGGTCATTATAGCTGTACTTGGCACAACTGTTGGTCTAGCTAGATGCAGCAATAATTGCCGGGCGTTCTATTCGGGTGAAGACGGTAGTTATCTATTTTTGTGTACATTGTGAGGCCATACTCACACTCGGAATTACTGAAACGTATCTGACAGTGATCGGACGCCAGATTCAGTTGAGAAAGTTCCGCGTGTGAACGCTGAATTATCTACTTCTTGTGCGCATTGTGAGGCCATACGCGCACTCGGAATTTCCGAAACGTATCTGACCGTAATTGCCACCAGATTCAGTTGAGACCGTTCTACTGTGAGTGTGCCCTCAGAACACGATCTGTATACAAGTGCGTACATTCCCAATATCCGCATTTCACCCTCCTTTTCTATTATTTTATTTTTCTGCTATAAATCCTGCATATGCATATGTACTGTACATATGCAGGAAACATACTCGGCACAACAATGATAGGCAAAAATAAAATTATACGTAAATAATAAAAATCGAACTGCGCATTAAAAAAAAACGGAGAGAAGTCCCGCATAAACGAGAAATGGAAACAAACACTTCAAACTGAATATTTTTGTAAATAACAATTGTGTAATTTAAATTTAATAAAATTCATACGTATGAATAGAATGGCCAATGAATGTAAGATTATAATGTATAAATGAAACTATAAATGAAACTCTTAAATCAAAATTATAAATTAAATTATGTACAAGCAAAACTGCAAAGACATAAAATGTAAATTCGCACGTAAATAAAATGTCCCATCGATGCACCCTACACATCCATCCCAGACTGTTGCTGGCTCAATTTCCCATTTTGCCAAAGCTCTTATGAGTTCAAGCCCGATCGACAAAATCGCTTTACTCCAATGGGGAGGATAGGAAGGTTGAGAGCCAGAACGCCTCCACGAAAAATAGCAGAGGGGAATCTCACATCAAATCTAAGAGTGAAATCACATCCAATCAGCCACGCAACTCTCTCTCTCTCTCTCTCTCTCTCTCTCTCTCTCTCTCTCTCTCTCTCTCTCTCTCTCTCTCTCTCTCTCTCTCACGCACACACATACACACACACACAACATATACATATATGTACATACATACAGACTCGAAGAACCTTTCCCTAGTCCTCTTTCTCCTGGCTAGACTCCCTCCTGTCTCCCTCCCTCACCCCACTCCCAAGTTC